CCACAAGCCAGGACGACTGCTGCCAGCACAGCGGTGGTGGCAGGAGCCTCTACTGCCTCCTCAGCCGCACTAAGGATGTCCAACTGCAGCTTAGGTCTGCTCCCCGCTGGCAAGTGGATATCCCCTGAGGGCTCCCGGGTTGCCAGAGGGATGTCTAAGCCAGCAGGGGGACATCCCTCAAGGGGTCCCAGACTGCAAGAGGGCATAGGCCGGGCTGAGGGACCACCCCCCAACTGCACAAATATTTGTGCACCAGGCCTCTAGTAATAATAATAATACCAAAAACAATAAAAAGGGAAATGGCTTAAGGATGGAGAGCAAAGGATAAAATCTTTCTAAAATCTTACCAGCTTTTTACTACCCTGCTTTGAACTAGGCCAAAGTCTCTTTTAAGGGTAAAGACAAATTTTAATTCAAGCTAACTATAATGTTTTTAGCCAACCAGGTATGTCATGGCAAGACATGACTGGATAAGCACAACAAATACCATATACAAATACTCCTTACCAACTGATAATTTATGACATTGCAATTAAAACCAAGGTTGACTACAAACACTAGTCTCTTTGCTAGCTATTCCATACCTGAAAGCATCTCTGGTCGATTAGGGCCTGTTGCTGGTTATCTTTGCGGGGGTCATCTTTTTTCTCTGTGTCCTCAGTCTTTTGACTGAGACAATCTTGTAATCTAGAGGGGGGAAAAATCAAGATAATACAAAATGCTTTCCTACATACTGGATTAAGATAACAAACTCAGTCAATGATCCTGCTACCCTCCCAACAGCTTTATAACATTTTATGTATGTGTGTGTGTGTGTACAAGTGCTCACACACATGCATACATGCATTTTTTAAAATTTAAACCATATTGTCACTGGAAATAAGACGGTCCTCTCAATAGACCACAAATTAGAAGGAATTGCTGATAACAAAAGGGATCAGACTGAAGAAGAAAGTTCTAACCACTCCCCAACACTTGCAAAAAATATAGAATAGGAAAGAACTACAGTAAAGAATGGAAGAAGCTTCTGAGGGATCCAAGCTTGGAAGCTACAGAGAAAGGAAGCAAGAAGCAATGGGTAGGACAATTGGTTTGGGCACTGAATCAGCAAGAGCTAGAGCAGTGGTTGCCAACCTTTTGGACCTCAGGGACCACCGGTTGGCAACCACTGAGCTAGAAAGTATAGTTCTTCCTTCTTCATGCTCCACAGATAACATGATACATTGGCCAATCAAGAGGGCATGAAAACCCATGAGAACATTCATTATTCCAGGTGGCTACTACAACGCTGGGGGAATCTGTGAATTAAATCTAATCTCCTTGGGTTAGCATTTGAATCTCTCCATGCGGTTAGTCCTAATCCAATATTCTTACAGACTTCTTTCTTACCTCATCTCTTACTACTATCCTACAATTATCTACTCCAGTCACATGTATTGCCCTTGATCTTCACTCAATTGCTCTTCTCTGCTCTCTGGTGAGTATATGACAAAATAAAAATAAATTTAATTAATGGATTAGCTCAAGGTAAAAAGTCAGTCTCTTTCCTCTAGTAGGCACAAAGACCTCATAATCCATTTTCCAGTTGTTTTCCCACCTATTTTCCATATTCACATACTTCACAGCTTTGCCTATAGGCAGTCAAGAGCATATTATCTAGAATACAAGGGACAGAAAAGCCAATATGCTCTCTAGTGGGAATACAAGTAAACCGATATATCTGAATTTAAATATTAGTTAACTTTACAGTCTTGTTCCTTGAATTTAAATTTTAGTTAACTTTACAGTCTTGCTCCTTAAACCTCTGGAATGTTCAAACTGAGCAAAACAACCTTTGGCCTAGGCCTAAAACATCACTGTATTTCAAACAGCTATTTGTAAAGCTAACAGGAAAGCTAATTTTCAGATACTCTGGACTGAAAATTAAAGACATTCTTTAGAATTAGCACCACCATATGTAGCTAAACAATAACCTAGCTTACGTGCCCTTATAGAAATTCTTTCCTTACTTACTAACATCAATAGAAACTCCTACCTTCTACTCATGTAATTATTCCCCTTCCCTTTCTCATAAACCATTTGCCATTAACCCCAATTGGAACACTTTGGGTTTCCGCCTGAATCAGTGCTTCCTGATTAACTATTCTTTTGGATTTCAAACAAATGCTTGTCGCTCACTGTGGCTTTTTTTTTTAGATTAACACTTCTATTCACATAATTGTTTCCTCCTTTTTCTCATAAAAACCCCTTGTTTTCACCCTGTAATTGGAACACTGTTTGAGTTTCTGTCTCAATCTGTATTAAATTCTTTTTTATCCCACCAAAAATGCTGTTGTGTCTCATTTTGGCCTTTTTTTTTAAGTTCTTAGTTTACTAATCCCCTCATGAAAAATCTGCACAATTACCACAGAGAGTCACTGAAGAATCTTGACTCGTTTTTGCCAGCACCAACATTGGCCTTTGTAGTTGCCGACTTTCTTCATTCTGTTCTTGCATTCCTTTCACTGTTTTCTTGAAGTCGTCTCTTTTCATAGAGACCTTGTTTGACAAGTCTATGTTTGAGTTCATTTTTCTTTACATAATCCAAGGACTCATAAATCATCCCGAAGCCAGTCTTGCCATGCCCAAAGTGAGCTCTGAATCCAAATACAAAGATAACATCTGGTGTGGTTTTATCCATTTTGGCTAGCTTTTCCCCAATTTCTGTCTGAGGTACTATTGCCTTGCAGGGTGAAGGACATCAAGGACCATTTATTTCAGCACAAGCAGTCAACTGGTCATGAACTTTCTGGTCCAGCTAGTTACTGTGTCATTCATGATGGTGGCTGACCTTCAAGCAGTTGAGGAAAAGCTTTTTTTTCCCAATTAAGTTAATAATGTTTGAGAAACCTATATTGTAGCAGAATAGGCTGTACTCAGAGAAATATGCTAGGGTTGTTTTGTAGTTTCCAAAGCAGTGAGCAGGGCCTGAAGGCCATAAAAATCCCTAAGAATGGCCTGGCCGGTTTGGCTCAGTGGATGGAGCGTCAGCCTGCGGACTGAGGGGTCCCGGGTTCGATTCCAGTCAGGGGCATGTACCTTGGTTGCGAGCACATCCCCAGTGGGGGGTGTGCAGGAGGCGGCTGATCGATGTTTCTCTCTCATCGATGTTTCTAGCTCTCTATCCCTCTACCTTCCTCCCTGTAAAAAAATCAATAAAATATATATTTTTTTAAAAATCCCTAAGAATGACTAAGGGATATTTTGCGTACTTAGCAGACACTTATTCCATGTAGACAACTGCTTCTTTGTGGAGTCTGGGAAAACCAGAAAACTGCACTTCCAACTTAAAATATGCTGTGTTATCTCCATAAAATAACTTTCTGTGTGCAGGCACTTCAGAGCTTTCAACTGTATCTGTTGAAGCCTTCCCATGATCTCATGTGATTCCATTCCGAAGATGAGGAACGAGTTGAAAAGTGGAAAGCCAATTTTATTTTTAAAATCACGCTAATTTAGCCACAATGATACAAAACACATCTGCATCAATGTGAGCCTCTCAAAGTTGTATGCTCCCTAAGTCCTTTTCCCTAAACTCCTACGATTTTGTAAATGATTAGGATGAAAAGAAGGATGGTCTCTTCAGTCTAGCAGTTACAACTCTAAAGGCAACTGTTTCTCCAGGAGGGGAGTCCAGCTCCAGCCCCCAATCCTGTGTGTTATCTTTCAGGCCCAAACTGTAGGCAATTATACAGGCTGCCTGGAAAGCCTCATGGAGTAAAGCTGCCCCTTCCCCCACCAGACTGGGTGTACAGGCTCTGTGCATCACAATCTTTGAAGAGAGTTGCTGTCAAGAATTCAGTCCCCCTAACCTTTCCCCTCCCCACTGGCCATGCTCATATGCATTTCTGCATTCCTAGCCCAAGTGTCTCCTTTCTGAGCCCTTATTGGGGGACTCTGAAAGAGGGAACTTTCACTTCTCCTTAACTGAAACACTTTTCTCCAGTCTGACTCTATTTTTCTACTCCTGGGCCGCCTCCTAGGCCCATGAAACAATAGGGGTCTTTTGTGCCAGGCTCCTAAGGCACTGAGATGCTTCATCCCATCTGTTCTACATGTCACTGATGACCCTTGCCTGGTGCCATTCTCTGGGAAAATGGAACACTGAGGGCCCAGCCTTTTTCTTTTTGACCCCTTGCTAACACTATTGCAGTAAATGAATAATACCTACATTGTTAATTTCACTTTGGCTTGTTGGTGTAACTGACCACCTCAGTGGCTGTCATCTCAACACTAGGTGATGAGACTCTTACTTTGTTTCCTCCTCGCAAAATACAAATACCACTGAAAAATGAAATGGAACTGTGCTTTGGTTATCTTGCAATGGCAAACCTATTTGATCACTTCCTAGCAACAGAATTTTATAATTAACTTGTTCATAATATTAACTCAAGCAAGAGGAGTCCATGTTTCCCCATGTTAAATTAATCACCTTCTCTGATATAGAAGGTTGGTTAGTTGAAAGGTAACTACAATTCTAAAGGAAAAAACCCCCGAATCGTCTTTGATTCTAAAAGGGAAAGA